CGCGGTGATCAACCGAGCAATAGGCAAAGACTTTGACAAATTCGTCAAGCTGGCGAAAGCAAGTTCCTTTTTCGAGAGGATTTGCCTTCGCCACTAGGCGATGTTTTTCAATCATGGCATCTTCATCCAACTTTTCCTTTGTTCTTCCTTCATAGGCTGCGGTTGGCGGAAGGTGGACTCAACACCTTTTTGTCCGCGCACGCCGCCCCTGATCACTGTAGACCTGCGGACTACCAAAAACATGACCTGCACAACCCGCTGACGGGTATCAGAGTTAGAATGTGAGCGCCTTTGAGCTGATGCAATGCTAGATAGTGTTTTGTTTACGTTGCAATGGGTCCCGTCTAAGGATGAGACCCGTAGTTTGTAGATTAGTCACTAGCCTAGCACGTCCTGTGCCCCGCGTAGGGGACCTGAGTGGCCTACGGCCACTGGACGGAAAATACACTACTACTACTACTAAAAGGTGATGCGTGGGCTACCTGACACACCTTTTCCAGCCAATCAGAGCCCGCATGTACGCCCAGATATTGGCGCTATACCTCATTCGGCAACTCTGTCGAGTAAATCGAGTAAAGCCGAGTAATGGACGCAGGTTGCTTTGCTTGACTGTCCGGGAGTCCTTACTTTGCTTGGTTGACAAGTATCGAGCAATCACAACCAACCAAGTCAAGTTACTTGGTTGTTGGACACACTGGCCCTTCCAGCATCTTCATCCAAGCACTCATGAAAAACCGAGTCCACGTACCGAATCACTCGTGTACGGTATATGTCTTCTTTCGGGTTGGCCATATCATGCAGTAGGGATGGCAATTGCATGTTCCCGTCTAACCAAAGGAGCCCATGCAAGTGCAGACTGCCTCGTTCGTTTGTCTCCACCGTTGCATAGTAATGGCTAATCTTGCCAAAAACTGACTCCTCGCCTGCCCTGACATATTTGTCGAAGAAGAGGACACTTCTCGGTGGAAGAAGATGGCAGCGCTGACTGGATCCATGATGCTGAGCGCGATTCTCTCGTAACTGTTGTGAAGATCGGCCAAGAGATCACATGCAGTGTCATAGTCATGCAGCCTGTGGATCGAGAGTCTTATCTTGACGGGGTTATTGATGTCGTTGGGGTTGATGGTAATCCAAACCGCTGGCATGCCAGTCCAACCGATGAGGGCTTGTATCTTCTTTCGCATAAGCAATCGGCTTTCGTTTGAGAGCGGCTGCGCATGACCAAAAATAGACAGCTCACGGAGTAAGAGCGATATATCGGGGTCACTTGTAGTCTTTGTCTCTCGCATCTCTGCCCCTGCCTTCTTCAGCCGGTCCGCCGTCAGGCTCTCAAAGACCTGCTCGAGGCGATGGAAGGAGCCCTTCGCGACACGGACCATGCTGATACGGCGG